CTAAGCATAAAAAAGAAAGAAAGATACAAAGTGTGAAGACTTACTCGAACAGAGCGTTGGAGCATCAGAGCAAAGTTTTCATACTTGCTCATTTCGGCATTTCGGTCGAGATCTCCAGGAAGGAGCAAAGCTGTGCTAAGGGCAACACCGACATTAACGTCATCGACACTATCACCAGCTCTGACCGGCCTGTCCTCCAGTGTGATTTGGGGGGCCCAAGGGGAATCATGCTTTAGAGACCCCGAGGTGGTTGCAGAGGATGACCTCGGCGTCTTTGCTCTGGTAGACTTGGATGGTTGGGCCTCGGCAGGCCTCTTCTCGGCAGCAGAATGGGACTTATCACTCTCAGCCAATCTTGAAATTGGCAAGCTGTCCTCAGTATCGATCTAAGTCACCGTTGCCTTTGGCTGAGCCTTCTTTATTCTTTTTGGCTTTGACTTTGGTGGGGGCTGGGACTGCGCTGGTTGGGTACCTACGGTGGATGGAATGTTGACCAAGAGGTTTTTGGCGACTACTTTCTGGCGGCCCATCTCAACAGCAAAAACAGTTCGTCGTCGTCGTCGGTGTTGAGATGATGGGATCAGTTGTGGAGCTGAGGTGGATGGCTGCTCTGCTGGATCTGAGGTTGACCCTTGATCTAACTGAGATGTTGAAGTAATGAAAGGAGTAGTGGTGGACGGAGCAGATTGACTCTTCTTCTTTTTCTTTGGAACGTCGGGAAAAACCGACTTGTAAGTAGGAATGAAATTGAGCAACATGGGGGCTCTCCGCTTGTGGACTGGCAAATCCAATAGCTTCTTCAAGTCCCTACTGAGGAAGAAAGACTGGCGAAAGCCCTTTGGTGGCTGAGGAAGAACTGCAAAAAGACAAGCACAAACATTATAACCAAGTATTGAGAACTTTAGAAAAGAGAGTAAGAAAGAGTGACACTTGGCCCTTACCATCTCCTTCCCCAAAAACTGTTCGGCTTAGGGGATAAAGGTGGAGGTCATCGTTGGGCTGAAACTCCCAGTTGTCCGAGACGATGAAGTAATCATCTCCAGCACCCTTATTTGAGTCTGGGAGGTCGACAATAAGCTTGTACTTAGTGGACCTCGGCTTGAGGTAATAAATATGGCATTTTTCCGATTTCAGGTGACACATAGTGTAACAGTACTGGAAATCGGCAAGGGCAACCCTAGCATTCTCTTGTTTGGCTAAGGCTATTGTATCGTTGATAACTTGGTAAGAATTGATGGCAAGCTGCATTGGGTTCAATTTATAGTAGTGAAGGACTTCTCAGAAAAAGGTGTCAGGTGGAAACCTTAGTCCACACTCGATAAAGGCCATTACTAGAAAAGCCATGAGGTTCACATCGGGCATGATGGAGTCATCCTCCCCAGCCAACCTCAGATGAACGTTGGTTGGGATGTCAAACTCCTTCCTAAAGTGTTCTAACTTGGTCGGGGTGTCTACCCTATGCTTCCACATACCCATAGCGTCGGCTTAAATTGGAGGAACTGGATTTCATAAAGAAAGTGGTTTGAAAAGGTTATAGGGACCTCGGCAAAAACCTAAGTGTAAGCTGGGGTAAGAATTTGAGGGGATCGTTTCAGTTCTTCCTAGAATTTGTGGGTTCTATAAACAAATCTCAAACCTAGATCTATAGAAACGAAGATTGAAGGCACGAATCTGGAAAGGAAACAGAAAACATGAATGTAATTTAGAGTCAAGAACAGTGATGGATCATCAAGAAACACAAGACAAAAGTTTGCGCAAGTGTGTCAGGTCAAGAACAGTGGCAAAAATCAACAAGTGTGTGAACAGTGTGAATTCAAGAAACAGATGGCGCAAAAACAGAATCATGAGACAAACATGTAGTGGAAAACAAGATACAAGTTGAAATATCAAAGATATGAGCAGGATTACAGAGGCAGAGCAGTGCAATTCAGTAAAGCAAAAAAAAAAATTGAAATAAGAAGTTAAATCGGGAAGAAACAGTAACTCACCGAAGAAAAGAAGCCTGAGTTGAGTTCGCCGAAGTCAGACGAGCAAAAGCAGTGGAAAAGACTAGCAAGGACCTCGCCAGGTGGGGTGAATGGAGGTGGTAGCAGAGCTTGAAAGCTTAGAACAATAGAGGATTTGAGAAAGTAAGGAAGAGAGAGAGTTTGAACAAAAACGATGATAAGTGAAAAGACGAGGAGAGAGGAAACGAGTTTTGTCAAAAACTTGAAGAGGCTGCAAAATGAAATTAAATGTGCCTGGAATGACGTATCTGACAGACGGCGTACGCAGGCACGAGGCGATTTTATGGCGTGTATTAAACACGGTCCAATGGAATAGAAACGAATGGCATAAACAGTTGGAATGTTGTTTGTGACAGCTCATGCGCGTGATAGAACTCTTGGAGTTCTTGGCTAAATAAAACAATGACCTCGGCTGGTAGGAAGATCTCGGCTAAATAACTCGAATAAACTAGGTTATTGGATCGAAAGGCCTTGATAAGACAGACTACAGGGGCTGGTCGTATGAAACCGGCGTATGATGACCTCGGTAAATGGATGATACAACAAGATAGCCGACATGTTATACGATATAACAATAAAGGTTCCATCACCTCAGGATGCCGAGGTAATAGAACCTAGGGGGCAGTTGTGGAGATATATTTTCTGAGTACCAGCACGTGGCCAAAGTGACGCCGACGTGTCAGCCGAGGTGCCACGTGTGTTGGTCGTAACACCGAGGTTATCTCGGCTAGGCCGAGGTTATCTCCGAAGATATCAGAATCCGGGATAAGCAGATAAGGAACAAGAGTCATAGAATGAGGAGGGATTTCAGCATGGATAAGGATAAAACTCTTAGAGAGTTTATCTTTATCTATTGGAAAGTCCAAGATAAGCACTGAGCTAAAGTCCATCGAAGTTAGGCTTCTATTGGGACTAAGATTGGGTTAACTATAAAAGAAATGCACCCCCATGGGTCTAAGGTACGCATTTTATATTCTGAACAGTGATTTAAGCACTTGATCTATCTTTGAGAGATAATTGACTTGATCGTCGGAGTGCTCCCGGGTGGACGAACCACCGCCGAAATCTCTTCTTTCTGTTGCAGGTCAATCAGGCGCCATCTATTCTGTCAGTGCTCTCCAGCTTAATACTAAATTAGCAATGTGGTCAGAAATTCACTCACACAATTATATATATTTGCACATATTTATTTTATTTTATTTTATTTTCTAGTTTTGTGTATCATGGTGCTACAATCCTAAGACATATTATGAGGAGAAAAAAAAAAAACAAGAACAAAAACAAAAACAAAAACAAAAACAAAAACGAAAACGAAAACAAAAAAAAAAGAAGAAGAAGTACATACCTATTTTCTCTACTTGGCTCAATATAGTAATAATAAACAGATAATGTAATTAATTGGAATGTTATTTTTTCCTTAAAACTCTCCACTTTGAGGTGGTTACCATATTGGCAGTTGGTAAATTTTTGATTAAATTGGGACGGCTTCCTAATCTTATTGTTCTCTCAAACGCAAAGGCAAGCATAATTTTTGGAGAAATTTAATAATACACGTTATATTATTTGTTAGGAAATTTAATAATATACATTATATATCTATATAATAAAGTATGATTATTTTCAAAAATGTCTAAGAGGTACAATTGGATAGAACTGTGTAGATTAACCTAAATAAATATTGAACGGCAGGGATTGCTTGATTGTGAATAAATTTCCTGTCCAAATAATTGTTAACACTGCTGGAAATTGGGTTTTTAGTGGCGTTTTAAAAATGCCGCTAATTCATTTTGTGGCGTTTAGTACCAAACGTTGAAGCTGCGGCCGTCGCTGTAGCTTTGCGACGTTTTAAAACGTCGTGATATTAGTATAGGAGGCGTTTTAAAAAACGCCGCCAAATCTCCCACTATACACAAGCTGACGTCACCGATGATATTTAGCGACGCTTTGAAACGCAGTCGTATCTGTTTAAAAAATATGACCGTTAGTATTGAGAGTTTAGGAGGCGTTTCTAGAAACGCCGTCTTTTTTTTTTTTTTTTTTTTTTGAGATTGTGCTAGTTTTATTTGATTAAATTAAAAAGAATACCTGTAAGAAAATATTGAATTTGGTTTCTCATTCAATTAATAAAAAAATAACTATAATAAAACTAACATACAAAATATTAACTCCCATTCAAATACCTGTAATAAAACTAACAGATAAAATAATAACTCCCATTCAAATAACAAATGAAGCATTAATTCAGTTTCATATGTGCAATAGCAACAACGAATCGATAGAGCGACCATAGCTCATTCGTTGTAAGCTACCTTATTACTAACCTATTAACATACAAATAAAATAAAATACATAAAAAAAAGTTCGTGATACCAATACAAGATTTTGATACAACTGGCATACAGAAGCCAATGCAATGCTCTACCTCTTTAGCCTGTTGTTTCTCCCAGTCCTCTTTAGACAGAATATTTCAATAGTTATCCAAATACAATGGTAAAAGGGTTTTTTTTTCTCCAAATACAAGAAGACTCTACAAATATACATTATGACATAGACTGAATGTATAAGAATGGTATGTTAAACTTTGCAAAGCCAATCTTGAATAGCAAGTCTTAGTGCATGGTTGGGAGTGAGATGCAAGTGATCCAGTCTCAAATTGGTCATCGGGGAAGTTTCTCGGCCACTTTCCAACCATCCATGCAGAGCATCTCCTTCGTAGGTGAATCCATCGGCTGCCTCCTGAGGATCGTGCATTATCTCCTGAAAGCAAAACCACCAATAATCCGAGTCAGGTACGGTTCTGCAAAAGATTTTCACAAAAATTCACTAGATTAAATAAATCATCTTGCTCGAGAAAAACCACAGGAATGAAATAAAATTCTGTTCTCTGTCCAAATAGGACCTACAAGGCTATTCCAATTTAGCTACTTCAATCACTTCTGAAGCTTAGTTTGTAGTTCACTTAGGGCATACACCAACTTGAAGATTCTTCATGAGCATTACTGAGGCTAATCAATCCTGCTCACAAGCACAACGCTCCCACTTGAATGAAAAAAAGAAAAACCAACTTCAATATGTAAATAAAGTGTGTCGAGAATCCAAGATTCCAACCTGATGGAGCAAAGAAGAATGAGTCCCACATTAAAAAGAAAGGAGTTCATCAGAGTGGCTCCCCACCTGTGATATGGATCAAATATTAGCAATCACAGGAAGCATCAGAAACACAACGAAATAATAAGATGAGAAAAAATATGCAGACAAGACAAAGTTCATTACTTCATGGGATGGATTGTTATGAAAACTAATCTCATGCCAAGCATCATTGCCCCAGCAATCACGGCAAGTAGAAGGTAGAAGCAGAAGAATGCAAAGGCTGCAGTTCCCAGAAGACCTGGTGAAGTGGCAAATAGGTATCTCAAGTTAATGTTATGACTCATGAAGCAAAAAGGAAATGAAAGAAAAAAATATGCTTAAAATTTTTATAATACCCCAGACGTCATCCAACTTGATGAAAACCCCATTTAGGAAAGGAGAAAGAGGAGGGTTAATCAATAGATATATCACAATATGTGCAATCCATGCCACTGAAACAATCAACCTATCAAACAAGCAGCCAAGAAGAAGTCAGATTTAATATACCCCATAGACACAGAACAGAAACAAAAATATCACGAGAATAGTGGAGTGTGAAGTAAGGAACAGGAGAAACACATATGATAAAACATAGAGAAAGCAAATACAATCGACATGAAAGAGATGTGGATCATCATATATTTACCCAACAATAATATCCCCATAAGAAATATAATACTTCATACACATCAAAGCAAGCTCCCCATCCCCAAATACATTGCATTTAAAATTAAAGGCCAGAACAAATAACTAGAGACTAAACATCATCCATACGTTATCCATAAGAAATGTTTTTAAATTCTTTTTTTTTTTTTTTTGGTGTGAAAAAACAATTTTTATCTAAAATTTTCTGCAGAGACCCCAAAAAATGACAGTTTCAAGGAAATCAAAATAACATTTTGTTTGTCAAAGTCACAATTAATGATATGCATAAAATTCGCACTTACCCTAAAACCCCCAACACTAGTTTGGCCAAGTACCCAAGAACAGTCATGGCCCATGCAGTCTCCGCCTGAATGAATCAAGCAGCAAAGTCATGAGACAAAATCATATCTCTCTTCTTTTTCTTTTTTCTTTTTTCAAATAGAAATTAGTTTGACAAAAAGAAACATCAAAAATAATATTTTCAGATTTTTAAAAATTACTTCCACACCAAAAAAAAAAGATAAAACCATATAAAAATGATGAGTGTTTTTTTATTTTTTCATTTCTTTCATCAAATTAGTTTTTAGTTTTATTGAAATTTTTTCAGAAAACATATTCTAAAAAACTGCTTTTGAAAAAATGTGCAGTCAGCACATTAAAAAAACTTCAAACCATCACCTTTTCACCTTGAGGGTACATCTCTTCTAAAGCCTTTACATCTTCTTCCAGAAGAAGCAACTCCTACAAGGTTAAGAATAAGTCAGCACCCGATTCCAATCTATCTAACCATGGATACATAGACAAGTCAACCAACAATGTAAACTTCAAATTTCATAAAAAATGATGTAATTTCTACAAACCCTAAACGGCCCCTAAGCATATAATAGCAATTGGAAAAAAAAGCAGGAAACCTTGTAATTGTAATTATCAATTGTTATGTCTTAAATGAAAACAATTTTGTAGTTGGATCATGATTCATGACATTAATTTCTGATGCAAACATTTTAACAGAAGAAAAGAAGCTTTTACAGATCTCATGTGTTGTATTACAATCAATGTTTTCTTTTCTTTTTTCACCTAAATGAGAAATTCCAATCATTTATTTTCTGTTATCATCTCATCATCATCACAAATAAAATAACAAGAGTGAATGATCTAAAATTAATAAATAAGAGCCTTGTCCCGAGATTACCATATAGATTCGAACTCATGTTCAATTCCATTAAATAATATCCAAAGACTTTGTTATATTATTTTATTTTTTTATTATATATTTTGTTCTACATAGAAATAATAGAATTCACATTATTAAATTAATAGATGCATATCTTGTATGTATAGTGATAAAATAGGTATAAGAAATGAGACTTGTCATCATTTGGAGACCTCATACAAAAGTTAATTTTTGATTAAAAAAAATTTTAAAAAAATAAAAGACTATTAAGTTGTTTATCATTAGTTAAAAAAATTAAATGTCATGCCAACTTTTCACTTACAAAAAATAAATTTTTTAACAACTTTACAAATGCATTGCATATTTGAGCTCCTAAAAAAAAAAAAAAAAAAAAAAACTGGATTAGAATTCTGATAATTTTCAAAGGAAGAGAGAGGCTAAGGTTTGGAAGAAAAGGAACTTGAAGTTTGAAGAATGTCTCCCATGTTGGCTTCTTCTCCCTCCACTTCTTCCTACTCCTCCATGAGTGGCTAGGCTCCTCAAAAAGTTTGAACAATCGCATGGTTTTCTTTTTGGTTTTCTTTTATGTAATGGTTTGAACAATCGCATGGTTCTCAAAAAGTTTTTTAATATAATTTTTCATTATTTTGTTTGAATATTCTGCTTTCTATGATTGTTGAATCCTTTCCATACAATGGTTTTCTATTCTTTCATGTTCAAGGTATGAGACTAATCATGAGGGACGAGTCGAGTTGCTACCCTAGTTTAGAACGAACGATTGGTACTACTTAAGATGGTTCGTACCTATACATTGAACGTGTTAATTCTCTTGATAAATGCTTTGAATTTGTAGTTGCGAAGTATTGTTTAGTTCGAACCGTAACTATAGACCCAACTTTCTTCGCGCGCCCCCCTTTTGGAGAGGCGCGAATTGGTCTTACTACAGTTCGAACTCATGTCACAGTTTTTAATCTAATCTTACAAAGTGCAATGTAAGACTGATAAACACCAAAGAGTCCAATCCGGCAAATCATTTTGGAAAATCGATTTTGAATCAAATAATGCCAAAAACTGGACTGCTTTGCCAGATTACAGAGTCGCCACCTAAATATTTTATTTTTGAAAAATTTAGGAAACCCTGACCCATGCCAAAGGCCACGTGTCCGTCATCACCAAAGTTGCCTCTGCTCGGGAGCTTTGCCAGATTACAGAGTCGCCACCTAAATATTTTATTTTTAGAAAATTTAGGAAACTCTGATCCATGCCAAAGGCCACGTGTCCGTCATCACCAAAGTTGCCTCAGCTCGAGAACTTGGGTACGAGACGGGAAGGTCCTAAAATGAGCACCCCCGCTCGTCCGATCAAAGGATCGGCCTCTACTAAGCATGATATGTTGTTTTATAAACTTCATGTGTTCTTATCCGGTTATTAATCTAACTTTACTATGTGACGCACACGAGCAAGTATAAACTAAGTTGCGAGAATTGGAACGAAATCGACTCATGTTTGTTTTCGAAAATGGTTTGAAAGTGCCACTCGCAAGTGGGCTAAAGCGCGGATTTGTCACCCTCAAGTGGGCTTTAAAACATGATTTTGCCTTTTCGCAAAGTGGGCTTAAAACTCACAATCATCAAATTGTTCCAATTCAAGCAACAAAGCCTTCACCCATAGGTACTCATGCAGTTAATCACTTAAGCAAATAGCCTCATGGCAAACATGCTATCATGGCAACACTCACACTAACGCAAGTATACTAAAGCGTAAAGCTTACAGTGTACTCCGAGCCAAAACAAAAGCTAGTTAGAAATATGCATGATCCTAACTATACAAGATGCCTAATGCAACACATGCAATATGCAATTACTAGGCTCGGCTATTTAAGATGGCATATGAATGCAATGATTTGATACACGTATTCAAATAAGTGTTGAAATACGATGCAGTTTGAATGATGCGCCGAGCCCGGTGCATGCACTACAAATGAATGATGCACGCGTGCAAAGCATAGGGTATGCTAATCAAAACATGCCCTAAAACTAACCATCGAAAGCAGTTAAGTAAAAGGGAGAAAGATGTGGAGTTGGAAGACATACATGTCAAACCCCAAATCCGGGCATGACCGGCCGTGGCCCACAGGGACTTAGCCCAAGGCACACGTAAGCCTAAACATGAATCCAAAACCATAAAGAATGAATGTGATGATAGCCCAGAAATAAATAAATCAACACTCAATCCAGTGACATACCACAAGTGAAAAACAAGTCATAACCAACTTCCTAAAAATATATATATACTAAATGGGACACAAACCACCCACAAAATAAAATAATTCTAAATAAAATCCAACCACAATGTATGCACGAAACTCAACAAAGCAACCTAAAACAAATTAAATAAATGCCCTAGAGGTCCATGCAATTGAGTCCCCGCTACGCCATGAGTCCACTCTAAGTCCTTCTAACACCTGGAAATGGTAAACAACTAAGTCAGCTGATAGCTCAGTGAGTAGCAACATGGATAGTAAATACAGTTTTGAAAACAGGGTTCAATTCCAAAATAAGATATATAACACAGAAACTAGATTGGCATACAGTTTGGTAAATACAATCTGTTTCAAAAAGAAGGTTCCACAATTCAACACTTAAAATACTCATGCCTCGCAAGAACATGATAAACGACATTTTCCACTTAAAACAGATTATAACATGAACACTAATAATTTTCTGGGTACCAATAAAAACAAATAATATGCCACACAGTTCTTAAGGCTATAAGCCCCGTTGGATCCAATACCGAACTAAGAGTCATCCTCAGGGTGGCACCTGAGCCTTTTCTCAAAGACGATCCGATTGGAGGTCACCTAGTTATTTTTAAAGGTCTTTTCCTTACAATCGTTGAGCACTAGAGTCATCACGGCCCAACCCAAATCTATTCCCTAGTGGCCAGAGTCACCACACACAGTGGAATAATTTCCCTGGACTAAATACACACATGGTCTCAATAATCAATACACATCAGTTTCGCAAAACATGGTAGTTCATCATTATAAACATGAGACCAAAACAAATAGTTTACAGTATGCCAAGTTCACACATGTTTCAAAAATAATTTGATTCCATTGATAATATAATAATTTATCAAAACAGTTTAGTCTTGAAACAACAATTTAATTTTCCTATAGTTCAGGGTAGAGAAACATTTATAAAAATATGTAGCATGAAACTACTCACCTGAAAACGAAATAATATAATCCTCGAATAGAGTGTAAAAGTCCAACTAGTGCCCTAAACCAAGTATAAAAACTGCGCGTCACTACTAATTCAAACATACTAAAAGGAATAATAAACTAAGTACCCCCAAATTAAAACGCACTAACACGGCTCCACCCAATTCACCACTACTCTTAAATATTACCTAAGTTCATGTTCTTCAAGGTCTAAAATCACCCAAGACATGGGTTTCAATCAAAACTTAACTAAAAATAACTTTAAGATAAAACAGAGTTTTAAACAAGTTTTCCCAATCTATTCGCTAACTTTGAAAATTACAAAACCCACTCGACGCTATTCAAAAAATTCCAAAAACCTCCAGATATGATCTAATATATCCTAAGTTTCAAATCCAATTGGTTTCATTTGATTTGCTTATCAAAATAATTATCTACAATTTATTATATCCAAACAGGTTGTTTTCTGTAGCACTTTAAAGAAATTGACGGTTCTCTTAATATACAAGAGCAATCAATGCAAGGCCAAAAACATACGAAACTAGACTTGTAACCGGTTCTAATGACACTAATTTGATAATTTTCGGATTTATACCCAAAAAGAATTACACTCCCGAATGTACTGTTTAAAACCAGTTTTCTGGACAGATTTGAATGCATCAATTTATATAGATTTTGACTCCCAAAAATTATGAAAAAATTCATATATGCAATTCAATATGTAATTGATCTACTGTAAAAATTTCAATCCAAAATTCATCCGTTTGATATGTTTTCTTGATTTTTAAAGTTTGTGATTCTGTGTAGAATTTTTGGACTAAACATTACACCCAATCTTTACACATAAATTTAGCTCCTCAAGTTTCTTAATAGGATATCTATATACGCAATACATACACCTACAACCTCTCCATCAATGAACTAAATAATCATAGAGTAAGGATAAAGAACAAAACCTTAAGGAAAAAGAAAGATAAAGACCTAGTACACACCCAAAAATCCATCCTTCTTTGCAACCCCTTTTTTTTTCTTCTTCTTTTCTCTCAATCTCTCTCTCTCCCGTGGTGGCTCCTGATGCTGTTATGAATAGTATGAGGCAACCCAGGGTTACATATGTATCTACACAAAAAGGCTCTAGTTTATTATCTCTTTATATTATTTTATTTTCTAACCCATTAATTTAAATAAAATATAACTATTAATATAACAAAATATACTTACAAACTTACCCTCTATTTTTTTTTTTAAATAATAAATCTTGCCTCTGAATTAAATACATTCACCATAAATTTATTTTAAGTTTAAAATTAATTAAAAGATCCTCCAATAATATTTAATTTGCACCTTAGAATTTACCACAAAAATATTTGAGAT